CGTAATAAATAGCTCTTAAACAACGCTCTCAAAAGATACGACTATATGATTAAACCAGCTTCCATACATAAATTGAACAATCGAAATACAATTAGATTATCTTTAAGTATGTTTTTTTAGATGACGATGCTGTAATGATTTATACAGTATTAATTCCTGCAAGAAAATTCTCTGAACTGTTGTCAATAAATCATTATGTCAATATGATTTAAAGCATATATTATATATATTAGAGTAACTCATATTATTATCGGCACAAACGTAAACATCTTAAATGCATAATGTGAAAAAAAGATCATTGCATTGGTACTTTTGTCTTAGTACTTACTTTTGTTAAGTAAGAAATTTTACCTAGCTACTAAAACAAACATTGTATAATATCAATGGAAAAAAAATCATACAACACATAAATTTCTATAACCTGACTATTAATTATTAATAAACTATCACGTTCTAAAATATAATAAATTGCTAGAGAATTGCATACAATTATTAACCCAAATTTTGTGCTTCACAAAAGCTGAATACATTTGTTATATGTTTTTTTATGTTTTCCCATTATATTGCTTACGTTTTATTTTTGAAATTTTGGGTTTTGCAAACGGACCCGGGTTCGCTAGTTGAATTTTGCCTTTTTAATTGGGGGAAAGCTAAAATTTAAAAAAAGTAAAGCAATAACCCATCATATGATGTCAAATTTGACAAGTGTAAAGTTAATGATGTCAAAAAGTTTACTTCACAGCTGAATGAAGTCCAGTCTATTCAAGATATCAATGATTATTTATAAAATTGTATGAAATTCAATAAAGTGGCATTCAAGTGTAAATGGTAAGTACATGTCAAAATGAAAATAACATTTTACCACAATCTTTTTAATGTAATTATTTCTATAAATATTGGTTTCGGTTACGTTCAATTGTTATAAAATAACGGGACAGTATTTTTATAATTTAGGTGTTTCTTTTTCAATATTATATCATACACAGTTTCCATTATTAATTCACATTAAAATAGCCAATCTGTTTAAATATATTACTATTCAAGTTAACTTGACATAGCGGAAAAGTGAGCATGATGCCATTTTGATGTATTTCAAAAAATGAAAACTATTCTTTTATGATGATATTGCATTTTATCCATAATTTCATTTGATCTGAAAACGGGTATAGCTTAACACGCCTTCGTTTAAACACGCACAAAGAGGACTTAATCCTTACACAAACTACAATACTACAACATTTACAAGACATTACATATCCACTTATATTATTATTAAATAAATGTAATGCAGATTTCTTGTTTTTACACTTCATAAAACCTTAAAAACCTTTCAGTCGAAGCGAAATATAAAGGGACACTTATTTACACAGGACAAAAACAAATTTACTGTAAACCATTCAAGTGTGTACAGAGACGATAATTATGTTTAAAATAGATTGAGAAAGAGTAAAATTTATAAACTTGATAACGTTATTGTAAAATAGTTAATTATGTTTTTGTAATTGCAAAAAAATGACACTTTTCCTAATTTTAAGCATCATAAAACAACTCCTAAAACAAAGTGCTGAAACTATAAACAAAAAAGTCTATTCTAAGTACCTTATGATTAGATTCTGCAGCATTTATTATGCACATGCTTATACTTTTACATTTTACAATCCTTTTAAAAAACGTTTATACAATATAGTGGGGTGTCATATATCATTATTTCATGAGATACCTCCACAAAATGTTTAATAGTAAAACTTGACAGATATCCTTGAGACGGTCATACTGATATTATCACTGAATAAATTCATCCTACTTGTTTCTATGTTTCTTATACATAACAAAGTCAAGCTTGCAGGTAATGAAATCACCGTATAATTTTGATGCAGTTTTATTAAACTACATTTTTTGTTTTCAATTGTGTCTATTTTATGCATAATGGAGTAAGCGAATTCTTTATATTAAGAAGAACAAAAAATAATTATTATTCATTGCAGAGAAATTTTACAATGTCGTAGCATTTTTCAATTTAAAACTAAATAAAAAAGTATGGGAAAACTTTTTCTTCTGGGTATCTTTTTTCAACTTATTTTAAGTTTTTAATGGGTTTTGAGGAATTAACCTCGGGGGCTTTTCGGATCATAAAAAAAATTTCAAGAGGGGTTGAATAAATCACAAAAAGTTCCCGGGTACTTCCACAGATAAAATAATTTACCCAAACCAAAATAAAAGAAACCATATTTGTGTAAGATTGTTGTATGTTTAGCTTCACCTGTATCACTAAAATACAAATTTACTTTAGCCAAGTACATGACTGTATACCTTACATAATATGAACCTTTTAAAGATTATTTTTATGAAATAAATTTATGATTAATGTATAGGTGAAGAGATTCTAATCCAATACAATTTTATCCGTTCAGATTGTCGAATAATTAATAGCAATATTTATTCGTATTTGTAAAATATAAAATTATATTTTTTTATTTGTACTACCATCAGAATGATACAACTTAGTCTAGGACATTTCTGCAATTTGAAAGTTTAATTTAAGTTGATTTTGGCAATTATGTGTGAAGCTGATATTGCGGGAAAAATCAATCGAAAGTGAGTATTAACATTTTCGATAGAAATTGATTACTTCTTCTTAAATTATGAACATTTCTTATAATGAAATGAACGATACAAAATAATGCTCGAATACAAACCACGTTCGATGTTAAGTTCCTTCAATTTCATTCATTACATCTAAAATATTGTTATAATAATCATTCAAAACTCATATATATGATACCAATAAACACTATAAAGTAAGACTCACGCAAGAATAGGTCCTAATCCCGTTTTTCAAATCTGATTCACATGTTAACGTCGTTGCTGATTAGGCAACTCTATATAGGTTTAATGATGACACGAATAACGTCTTACCTAAATCGGTATGTCTAATAGATCTCCATTTGACAAATTGTTAGAACCAGTTGCGTGATACCACTGACAATATCAATTAAGTTTGAATGCTTTTATAAACATATTTATATAGTATTTAATTGCAAACATTGTATGCATACAGTTTGAGTAGAAATCAACTCAAGCTGAAACTTATCTAGAAAACATGAATACTAGTAATAAAACTGAATATTTATACATTTTGAAGTTTTTGCACTGAGTTGTGTTAATTGATAATACCAATATTTATCTTTATGATTATTAAATAAATTTATTTCATGCAATACTGTTTATTATAGGAAAGGTTTGGTATTGCTTAATACCCTTAAAAGATAGATAAAAGGGTTTCCACTGAGATTTTTTCTTCATTTTTTTAATAGGAAAGCGTTGTAATCTTTCTTACTTTTATAGGGGTATTCTTGTTTATGTAAGAAAGTCAAATATCATGTTTTGATGGTTTTGGATCTCATTCAAGTTCCTTCTAATTCAATGTTAAAATATCCATTATCTATTTACAGCATGTTTGTGTAAATAATAAATACAGTATTTCAGTGTAAACGAGATCATGTAAACGTTTATATTTCCTTTATTAGTCACGATTTAAGGAACATTTTAAATTAACTGTGCAAAAATCGAGAACTCATTCGTTTGATTACCCGATCATTTATCCTGATCCAAGCAGGAAACTTCTTGTTGTAACTGCTTGATAATTAAATAAGTCATTAATAAAAAGGCTGATTTGTTCCTAATCAATTTCTTGAATGATCTTAGACACCCTTTATTTGAACCATAGTATGAAACAGTAAATATCATATATATATATTACTATGAAGAAACCTTTGTCCACATAATTATGAAATACGTCAAATTTGAAACAAATGCAACGATTTCATGTAAATAAATTTATGGCAATACTATCGTTTTCTTGAGGCCCGATATGTCCATAAATATATTAATTTCTCCAAAGAATTTATTGTTACATGTGTTCCAAAAAGGTCCTCCTACGTTTGCCTCTGTTGCTTTTTGACAATAACAAGTACTGTAGTAGATATTCAGTGATTAAGTATTTTGTGTGAAAGTCGAAATACTATTTTCCTCACATTTTGTAACTTTTTTATGACAAAAAATTTGTCATGGTACTTGCTTAGTTTGAAATTGCATTGAACTTGTTACTTGTAACAGTACATTACGTTTCTAACAGTTGCATTAAAAATATCTGGAAAAAAAGATCATGTTTGCACAGTTTTTGGACAAAAAGTGTTTTTTTGTAACACATTTTACCTTTCCTGTTTTATAGCTTAATATCAGGTAAGATAAAGAAAATGGTAACCTCAACGAACCCCAAAAAACGGCAAAATTGTACAATGTTAAAGACTCGGTCACGCCCAACAGCTCGGGCTAGAATACATGTAACAAATTTTACTCTAGAATCATTCAGGGGAGAGGGGAGTAGCAGACGTCATTTTTTATATAACGGGCTGCATATCGTTCTTTAAATATCAAATGCAAAATGGCCAACAAGTGTTAAGTTAAATGCCGTTGGTGTCAAAAATGCGTTTATATTGATACAATACTAAGATCATAAGCTTTTCATTGGTGCAACATTTTGAAAATAAGACTATAGATCGTAATAAACTAGCGGTTAGTACAGACAACTCTTGGTTTATATTCGGTATTTGTAATTTACATAGTTCATATATTAAACTATTTAAGTGCGTATTCATTAGATTCAGCCATAAAGTTCTTTTCATTATGGGTTGCCAAGAGTTATGTACGTTATGTGTTTGCGTCCCTCGTAATTTCCCTTGTATATATTATAATATGTATTATTGACTCGGTAGGTATCTACCAATCCCTTTCTTTCATTGTTGCTCTGCCCTAATTATAATAATCTAATTAAGCTCCTCCTCCTCATTTGTTTCCCCTTCCCGTTTGGTGTCCTTTCGTTTGCCGTTGATTCAGGATATTGTAGGGACTGCGTTTTGGAGAATACCTCTTGTTGGTCTTTAGCCTCGTGTTACATAAGATTATAATATAAGAGAAGTTGAAATATAAACCAAATAACATTTTGATATTTATGTAAATAATATAATTTCGACGCGTTAATAAGGAGCAAATAAATTGAATTTACATATATAACAGTGTATACGAATATTTTTCGACATGCTAAAAATTATAATTATACAACTGAAACAGGTCTTCTACTGAATATAATTTAAATTAATACCTTTTTATTATAATATTTATCTTTCATGATATATTCAACTAATAATAATAATGATAATAATAATAATAATAATAATAATAATAATATCTTTATTTAAAGAAGGTTACACATTAAGAACATACAATAACAATCATATATATCTTATTTCCAATGTGGCTTTCTGAAATAGAAAACAACAACAACAACAACAGGACATGCATAGGTAGAAAAATGAATATAATATGTAATATTTAGAATATTACAACTCATATACTTTCGACAGACACTCAACAATTTGTTTTAACATATACGTATATTGCATCATTCGTTCGTTCGTTCATTCGTTCGTTCATTTATTAATTAATTAATTAATTAATTAATTAATTAATTAAATAATTCATTCATTCATTCATTCATTCACTCACTCACTCACTTATTCATTCATATGAACATCAAGATATGCTTTGTATTTCTCTTTAAAACATTTAAGGTTATTAACATTACGAATATTTAAAGGTATATTGTTCCAAATGTTCATGCCATAATAAGAAAATGTGTCTTTAATATAGTTTGTTTTAGGTCTTGTCCATAATACAATATCTTTTCGTGACCTAGATCTTAAGTTACATATTTTGTTGTCGGATAAAGTCATCAGTTCTGTCATATAAGTCGGTGCCATGTTATTTAAAGTTTTAAAAACAAGCACCGCCGGGTGGTATTTACATCTGTCAAGGAACGGTAACCAGTTAAGAGTTTCGAATAGATTTATTGACGGAGATCTTTGTGGTTGCTGTAAAATGATTTTAGCAATTCGTTTTTGTAATTTACAAACATTATTTATGTAGTTTGTGTTTCCTTTACCCCATATAATACAACAGTAGTCCATAATGGGCAATATATATGCATTGTAAAACAATAATTTCATGTCAAAGTGCAAAAATACGATATCTTGTCAATAAGGCAATTTTTCCGTTAAGTTTTTTACAAACATTGTCAATTTGCAAGTACCATTTTAAGTTGTTATCTATGCAGATACCCAAGACTTTTTGATCAGTTACATTTTCAAGAGCTATTTCATTTATCTTAAGATACAATTTTCTCATAATATTTACTTTTTGTCTTGTTCCTATTACCATACATTTTGATTTATCTGGATTTAAGGCCATATTATTTATTTTGCATCATTTGTCAACGTTATTTAAATGATCTTGAAGTTTTATTTCTACTTTTGATATACATATTTTCTCCGGACTCATAAAGAGTAGAATCGTCTGCGTATAAATCAATTTTTATATCATTACCAATGAAGGCTATGTCATTTATGTATATTAGAAATAATAAAGGTCCAAATATTGAGCCTTGTGGAACACCGGAAATTATTTTCATTGTCTGAGATTGAAGATTACCTATCGTAACCAGTTGTATTCTGTTAGAAAGATATGACTTAAAAAACTTAACGGCATTTTCAGAAAAATGATATAAAGTTTAAGTTTATGCAAAAGTATTTCATGGTCAACCAAATCAAAGGCTTTCTTTAAGTCTAAGAATGCAGTCCCGATATTTTTTCCACTGTCAACATCTTTTAACCAAGTATCTATTAAACTAATGAGTGCAGTATTACATGAATGATTTTTTACGAAATCCTGATTGTTTATTATGAATTATGTTCGTTTTTTCAAAGAATGAGTGTATTTGTTTGGCAATATGGCGCTCAAATATTTTGGATATAGTTGACAAAATTGATATCGGTCGATAGTTATTTGCTTCATTCTTATCCCCCGATTTAAAAATAGGTATAACTCTAGCTCTTTTGAAATCATCTGGGAAAATATTAGATTTAATACTATTATTGATAATTGATGCAATTATTGGTGTAATATAATCTCCACAATATTTAATGATGTTTGGCCCAATTCCATCTAATCCTGTAGATTTTTTAACATTCAGTTTTTCAATAATTAGTTTTACTTCAAACGGTGTAATTAATTCAATATTAAATTCATGATATATTAGCTTTTGGTCTAATGTTTCTTTCAAGTTTGAAAAATTTGTATTTGAAAACTTTGTTTTCTGTATGACATTCGAGATATTGACAAAATACTTGTTTAATTCATTTATAATATTTACATTTCCGTAAATTTCTTTATTACCTGTCACTAGTCTGTCTGGCAATGTAATACAACCTTTTTGTATTTAGATTTGAAACGTCCTTTAAATTTTTCCATAAAAATGCCGGGTCTTTGTTATTTTTAATAGCATTGTTAAAGTAACCCTATATTGAAAAAACGTTTGCTTCAGTCAATTAAATTCTCCTCTTAGCAATGACTTTGTAGGGCTTACAACCCAGAGAAAAAGCTGACCCAACAGGGGTGATATCTGCACATAACCCAGACTCCATTTTCCATTTATAGCGCTGCATTAAACTCGCGAAGATTAAATGAAGCTCTGGTTTGGCAACAAATTCTCCGAGACATACTCGTGTTCCTGCCGAAAATGGCAGCCAGTTCTTTGGCTTAGGTCCTAGCTTTCCATCTTCCCCTAAATATCGTTCTGGAATAAATCGATCAACGTCATCCCAGGCGCTTGGGTCATGGTGAAGCGCCCAGTGATTGATGGCTATGTTGGTTCCTTTAGGAATTCGGTAACCGGCTGAATAAATAGATAAATGCATAATTATAATTATTTTTATATTATAATGAATTAGTAACAGAAACAATATAATGATTGTATAAACATCTTTGCTGCGATAAATAAAAAGGGCATGCATGACACTCAATAATTAGCATTTAATTTGTTTGATATGTTATAAAAATATGCTTAGAACTGATGTTATGCACTTATTATTTTTCACAAAGCAGACTGCCCTAATAACTAAGCCAAATAGCACCTTTTCTGAATTATGAAATAAATGTTCTGAAAGTTCATGTAACTAGCGTAGGAGTTTTAACGGAACTTTGTGGTAATTGAATTCAATAAGCAGCGAAAAGAAGCTTGTTTAATAAATTGAGACATGCAAATGCAAATTTTGATACAGATGATGCTTTTCCTCATGAATGTTGTTGTACAAGGACTCTTTTGTTAAAGGTCTTTGAAAACCACATTCTGGAACACATTATACCAATTTAGTAATGAATCATTTCTCAATGTCCAGTGGATCGGACATTTCTTTTTTCTCGCTGAATCGCTGAATAATCATTATGTATGTAACGTTTTAAAGCTCACAAACCCTGTCGGTGAAATGCTAGCTCACCGCCAAGAGTGGTTTGTGTCCTTATATGTGGGAAAAATTCCCTTATATTAATTCACCAACTTTGTTATTGCACATTAAAAACATTATGCATGTAACGTTTTAAGGCACACAAACGGTCGGTGAAATCATGTCGGTGAAAGGCTTTCGCTCGACAAGAGTGGTTTGTGTCCTTAGTTATTGGAAACATTCCCTTATGTTAATACACCGGCTTTAGTTTTTGCATGTTATCATGCTCATTAAAGGTATCATGACGTTCTATGTATATTTACACACCACCTACAATTTTATTATGAAAGTACTATATTACTAGTGTAGGATGGTTGTAATCAAAGTCATCTGCAGATAGGAAATTTACGATCGCTCTAATTGTCACTTTATACAATGAAGTGTTTTTGTAATGTTTATTCATTTTGTTTATTTGTGTGTGTGTAAGTCATAATATTTTAGGCTAATAATTGTTATGAAAAGCCTTATAATAAGAAGAATACACTGCCAAACAAAATACCTTTCACATTTCAGCTACTCATTTTGAAAACATTTTGGCCCTCGTCAACAAAAAGAAAAATATTTAACGATTCATAAGTTAACCCATTGCTTTTAAAAAAGTAATAAAAATAAAGTTAAGCAACAATGCAGGGTGGACTTTCCGAAATTTTTGTTCCAAGCGCAATTTACTGCGAACATTGTACAATGTACTTACACAATTCTGTATCACAAGACGCTTGATGGAAAACTCCTGATGGGACTACGCTTGCAAGACGCATACTTTCGTGTAACACAGCTTCCGTATAACCCAGATTAGGGCGGTCTGCAACTCCTGGTAATCTGTCCTTCCCTGAAGAAGCAATGTACTACCTTTGATATTTTAAGTGATATCTTTATTCTCGAGCTCAATTTTACAGTAGTAATAATAATATATAATATATATCTGAAGTGTTTAACGAAAACGAGTTTGTATTTTCTTTGTTTAAATGAAGGAAAATCTCAACACTATAATTGATTGGCGAAGGCAGTTTTGAGCTCAAAATTTTCAAAAAGAACAAATCACAATTTTTTTTAAGGATTAATTGTTCCAAATCAAAATACGCGGAATGCGCCTTTGAGTTGATACTGCACAGTGACCGACTTTTAACTTGCAGACTGCTTTGGTAGACAAATGTATTTTACTAACCAACAGCATTATCTATTTCTTCTTGAACCTTTCCTTGTATATCCGGAAATGCCACCATGTGTAACAGGGCAAACCTGAGTGTAAATCGGGATGTGTCTATGCCAGCTAAAATACAAAATATAAAATCGAGTATAAAGCAAAATCTATAATCTAGAGCAACTCTTTTAAAATGATCTAGATTACAAAAAAATGTCTTCCTCTTACATGTTTACCTTGATTGGATATAAACTAATCAAATTAAGCTTTAAATTATATTTTTAAGAAGCACCTTATTTCAATTTTCAATTATAAGCAAACAAAAAACGGTGTTCTCAACGATGCATACCAAAGAATATATCAGTAAGCGTTTGAACAAGGTGATCTTCATCTAGTCCTAAGAGTGCGTCTTTTCCCTCCTCCTGTTCCGCCTCCATGCGAGCAAGGATCAAATTGTCCGAAAGATGTCGCATTTCATCTATCAAAAAAAAGTTCTTTATATCAAAGGTATAGTCATTATGTCTTAGAAATTTATTTTTTCCGTCTTTAGAAATATCAAGCATACGTTTAAGAGCATATATTTTGATATTTACAACTGGAAAAAAATAGCGCTGAACATGCAGCTTTGTGTCGTAAAGGTGGCAAAATGTAAACAAAGAAGTACTTGTATTTTGACTTCTATACAGAATACTAATTCACTATAATTACATATTAAGTATACTTGACTTCACCTTATTCCCTATATGCACCTTACTTTGTTAAATGTTGACTTCGCCTCCTTGTTTATATGCTTTAACATTTTTACATGTTGACTCCACCTTCTTTTCTTACTGCACTTACCTTTGTTAAAAGTTGACTCCGCCTCCTTGTATTTTCTTCTTATAAACCCTTCGATCACTTCATTCGTAAACACCTCTAGCTCTTTAAAGGCCTGGGTCTTATACACATATTTCAAGCCTGGTACAAAATCCTCCAAGATGCCCCTTCCAAATTTGTCGTTTATGTCGTCATCGGCTTTCAGAATATAACTCACTTCTTTATCTTTGAAATCATATCTAAAAAGACCAGAACAAACATTTCATTAAACGGAAATATTTCTCTACTTTTCTACTCTAGGAGTCAGGCATAATTGGTAGTAATTATTAAAGAATATACAGAAATTACAGGCATATTTCAGAGGAATAATAATATGAACAGTATTTGTTTTATCTGTTTGAATGTGGCGTCCGTGGCCGAGTGGTTAAATCGTTTTAAATCGAAGCCACTACCTTCCCGCTGGGGGGTCATTTTGAACTCCTTCGGGGAAAGGACCGACTTGCAACCTTTCCCCAGACAATTTCAACAATTCTCAACAGTTCTCATGCGCGGCCCACAAAAGGTGGGGGTTGGGGAAAATAAATTAACCTAAACCCCCGCCTTGGGATTTCGCTTATTTTTATCCCCCCCTTTTAAAAATTTCGATATAAAACTTTCATTTTGAAATAAAAACACAAAAAAAAAAAAACAAAAACATTTTTTGACTTTTTACCCATTTCTAAAGAAACTGTACAATGACTTTGGGGACGATTTTTGTAATATGTTTTCCCAAAAGCCGAAAAGCCCAACACCCCCGCCTTCCCAAACCCCTTTTTAAAATTTACTTCTAATCCCCGGGCTAAATTTAAAAACCAAAAATTATTTGCTTTTTAACCCACCACTTACTTTCCGCCAAAGCAAAGACTTGTCAGTGATGTTGGAAACAAAAGTTATGTACTGCTCTGGGTTCGAATTGGCCGGAAATTTTGTCAATTTCAACAAACGCCGTTTCTACAGCATCAAAGATTCTGTGCTCTAAGGCGTCTCCTTGCAAATATTGTCTGTAAAGAATGAGACAAGATGATACAAAGACCATGCAATACTCGTATAAGTGTCAGTCTTTATAACTATAATATACAAACGTTTGGGCGATTCGGCCTGTAAAGCGCTTAAATTTGGGTTCTATTTTATAAAATCTGTTAAATCTAAAGTCCAGCTTTCTTCTCAACTATAGAACAACAGTTTCTTCTCAACTAAATTAAAAATTTTAAGTATGTGCACTGTACACTTTTAATGGGTATAAAGCTATATATTATGAAATAATTTTATAAACCTTGTGTCGTATTTTGGCATATTCCAGACGGGCCCTGGCCTGTTAAAAGTTAAAACTGTTTCCCAGTCTTTTTTACACCACATATTTATAGACGGAATAAAATTTTTCCGGAAAAGGTTAAAATATATTTTTCGCTTTTCAAAAAACTTTTCAAAGATTTACTGATTTAAAAAATTCCAGTATTTTACCAACCAAACATAGTATTTTTAATTATAATTTTTAAAATTATGAACTTTTTTTTTAAAAACAGATAACATTTTTTTTTAGACATTCCTAGTAATAATTTTCTTTTTTGATTAACGGATTTAAAAGGCCACATAAACAAAAAAGTTTAGGAATAATTTTTTATTGACCAAAAGCCCCATGAAAACAAAATAGTAGACTTCCCTTTAAAAAATTTTAAATTCTAAAAGACTTATTCCGGGGGCAATAGAAGCAAAAAAAGGGCAGTTAACGTCCAAAGATATAGTTTTTTGGAATTTAAATGAACAACAAAAAAAATAGGGAAAAAAGATTTTCAGATTTTTTTCATACAAAATTAATTAACGGTCTCTGTGACATATTTAGGGCCTTTAAAAATAACTACAAACTAAGTTTTGTTTGCAATACGATTAACCAATGTTTAGAGATAGATAAGATGAAAACGAAAGTAAAGGGTTGGGAAAAATAAACTTCATTATATTAATTATAATAATTTCTCTTTACAACGATGCATGGACTGATGCTGGGTTGTTTGAAGATCTCTTAGTTTTTTCTTTCATCTTTTTTGTGATTCTTTGTTGTTTTTTTTATTCATTTATTAATTGTTCTGTTCCTATTTTGTTTTTGTTACCCTTTTTGTTTATTCGTTAGTTAGTTTGTTTATTTAAAAAAATATCAGGGACTTTAAAAAGTAAAATTTTTTTTTTGACATAATTCACGCGCGGAAAACAAAAACGCCATATTTTTTCCACCCTTTGCGACAATCTTTTCTGCCGCTGCGAGGACACACCCCTTTGCAAAAAAGGGTTTTATACCACCCTTTCCGGCAAATTGTATTTTTTAAAAATTTACTCACAGATGCCCCGAACAGCAAAGAGGGTTTAATTTACCCTTAGATTTAATTCAAAGGTTTTTGAAGAGGGGATAAAACTCTCGATGCTTTTTTATTGAGCTAAAGAATGCTAAAATTGGGTTTCGCACACCGACACACTCCACACCCCAATGTATTGGCCATACGAGGGCCCCTAAACCCATTTCAATCCCGGGATTATTTATCAAATTTTTAGAAACAATCCGTAGAATAGCTAGATAGCTTCCTCACTGAAAGAACCAAAGTCCCCTCGGGGTTTGAACCCCCCACGGGAAAACAATTGGTTTTAACAAGAATGTAAAAAGTTTAACAAAAATGTGAAAACATTAAAAATTAATGGTGCTGCTTTTTCTATACGGGAAAAGGGAAAAGCCATGAAAAAAATTAAAAAGGAAAACTCAGAAAACCTGGTTTCGTCAAAAAAAACTAATGCTACACTTTTGGATCTTAAAATTTTAAAGCCAATTTTTTACTACATAAAAAATATATTCTTCTTTTTTGCCTAATATGTCAAAAAATATACTATATGTTTTTATTAAATTCCTAATAGTAAAAAAACATACGTATGTTTACATTTTAAAATCTTTTTTATTTTTGGGGGTTTTAGGGAATTTACAGTCATATTGTTTTTTAAAAAACAGAAAAGTTTTGACTCTCCAAATTGAATTGACTTATATAAACTTCCCCTTTAAAATGAAATAATTTTTATTAAGTTTTCGTTAGCAAACCCTTTTAAAATTTTATGTAAATTACCCATTTTAAACCTAAATGTCTGTTATTTCATGTTGTGACCTCACCCCTGTCATGTTGTCCCTGAAAAGGAGAAATAAAAATTTTTACTTGAAAAAAGAAATATATATTATACTTACTAGATGGAATACTCCTTCTCGAAGCGAAGTCTGTTGATTTTTTAACCAAAACCTCCAAGGCTGTATCTATTGTGTTGACATATACAAGCGGCATAGGACCTTGAATTAAGATATATTATATTATACTATTATAACTTCATGGAATATCATTTTGTAAAATGCAAAATAAAACATTAATACATGTATGTTAATAAAACCATTCAATTAAAACCAGCACGTGTATAAAATAAATGATAAAATTATACATGTAATCACTAACACACCAGCACTATGTGAAACAAGACTTGTCCGCGGACAGCGCTGTCCACTTTCCTAAGTGCTGGAAAAAAGCAACATAGAAAAGGGGGTAAAATCAACAAACATTTCAAGTCTGAAGTGAATACCTTTAACGTGTTTTTTAGTAAAAAGGCAAATATTCCAAGTTAAAGAAGGAAGACAAAAGGGGCATAACTATGATTTTTAGGATTATCTGCCCTTCTGAAATGGTGTCATATTTCGAAAGTTAACATGTTTATCAATTTAAAAGTGAACAGTTCTGATAGTTCCCTAAAAGGGGATCTAAGTAAAAAGGTTAACAAGGGCTAACAATCTAAGTTGAAATTGCCTTGCATAAACAAGTTTTAGGATTATCTGGCCTTTTGAAATGGCGCCCTTTAATGACAATAAACATGTATACCAAGTTTGAAGACTGTCTGAGAAAATGTACGTTATCAAAAAGGTTAACCTACGCCGACAAGAGGGTCATGACAATAGATCAACTTTTTTTCTTTTAAAAGTGGAGCTTATAAATGACATTAGACACTTGCAAAATATATACAAAACAAGATCTCTCCATGGACTGTGGAGTCAACACGTCTCCGGCACTGTACTGGGTATTTATTGAAAAAAAAAGCAAAATAGAACAAGCGGGGATAATTGTGCGAAAGTTATTTTGCAAAGTTACTTGCCCTTGATAGAAAACAAATAGACGATATATCGGTGCGATACCGCACATTTTTTCAGACACGAAAGGACACCTGGGTAAAATCACCGACGTTCAGTAAGCTAGCTTGAAGAGCTTCCTCACATGAAATAATCCAAAGTCCCTGTCGGGATTCGAACCCCACAGCGGTGAGGGTTTACCTTACCTAATCTGATTGACACGACTGGACCATATTTCTTCGACCACTCAAATGCTTGTTCATGTAATGTCTTCAAGTCAACTTCTACAAATATAAAATTATATGATAGCAAGTGGTTAATAAACGGTACGTAGAGTATTATATATAGTAAGATGTGTATTGATACATTAACTAGTTTCTTTAAAGCTGCATGCCTCCATATGAGCCAAAATATTTCAAAAAATTAAACTTGAGAAACATGTACTAAGACTGTATATTGCACATGCTATATGCGATAAAAGCCTGTTTTTTGCAATTATATATAACATTACATTTGTACTGCGTGACTAACGCAGTAAGGGCAATTTTTGCATACAGTGTAGTTTGGCCCAAGTTATAGATGCCGTTTGCAATGTGTAAATTACTTTCTTTGTTCACTACACAATATTTATTTTTACATAAATTTAAAAAAAATTCATGAGACAAAGTTGCTTTATAAAAGCTGTTTAAATAGTATATACCTAATTACGGTGCCTTTATCACTTGACTATTTGCGTGTGGCTGTCCATGTAGTATATTTACCGTACTGTAATGCATTTTTATTTTACGAAGAAATAAACGACTTTGCCCCAAACAATTCTATGTATATAGAATACAGAATGCGCTCATACGAGTATTTCGCTTTTTTACAATAAAAAATAGAAAAAAATAATTAAAATGTTATGAAAGATACTATTACCTACTATTAGATAGAATTTGGATATGCATAATTTTCTGTACCAATCAGATCACAAAGAAATCACATTACTCGGCACTGTGCTATATAATGATAGGTACTTACGCATCATGTTTCCAATGAGGGGAAAAGCTATTGGACCGGGCGGGTATTTGTACTTCCATTTCTGTATCAACCAATACACAACAAGTCCCGTTACTATAGCAACGAGGAATGTCGTCCCTATCGATCCCGACAACAGAAATTCCTGAATCATGCTCAACCGTTAATTAATCGATAAATCTGCAATAAATCTTGATTATCATAAGTGTGACAAAATAATACACCACAAAGAATACAATCGTTTAAGGATCCTGTAACTCATTTTTTATGGTTTTATATCATAAATATAATGCTCAAATGAAAATTTATTAATATTGTAAGTTCCAAGAAGCATTATTTGTAAAGATATTACCAAATTTACATTTCATGCAAATAAAGGGAGGTAATTGAAAACTTATTTTCGAAAAAGTATTTAGCCGATTTTTTTCAATAAGAAATGAATGCATATATTTCAATGATTACTTATAATGCGTATAAACATTTGCTGTACATATTTAACATATTCTTGAATGTTTGAAAATTGTTTCAAAAGAATAATTATATACACATAAAAATTTTTACGTTAGTATTGTTACATCCTTAATTACAACATTTAGGATCTTTAAGTGTTTTCATGTCCTTAATTTTAAATAAACACAAATAAAATTTAAAAAAGAACAGTATTGGAGTCAAATTTATGCGGGAAAAATCGGCAATGTGAATTACAATGCATAAATTTATTTGTTACAGAAGTTTGTGATAATTAATCTGATTGAAAATCGATTTATCAATTGTATAAGCATTTACCTGAACAAATAGTCCCACTTCGAATGAAATTTTTACTCTTCACAAAGTTAACTATCTACCCAACGCATAGCCAGCTGCAGATAGGTCAAAATGCAGCACATAAATGTAAAATACAAACAACTTTACAGGTAACATTAAAGTGTACACACGATATTTTATTTATAGGTCATTATGTAGCACAGCTATGTATGACGTACCTAATAAATACGCTGTAAACGTATTGACCCACTTCAGCGTTGAAGTTGTTATATAGTACAAGGTTTATAACACTCGTTTGACGATAAGGTTACAATATAAATCAATACTCTGTTGATAATAGAAAACATACATATACTTAAAAACTCTCTGATGATAATTAATATATAGATTGCTTAATTATTTTTTTTTCATTGTTGTAAACTTAATGTGAAACGGTTTAGACCATCTTAGATCCTAATTGTATTTAGAAAATAGCGCTGATTGTGTAATTACCAGTATTTCTCATAAAAGTAGCAAAATGTAAACAAGCTACTGTTTTAATTTTCATTGAAAATACTAAATCACTTTGACTGTTTAAAATTGTTTAATAGCAACAAAGTAAAATTTGTTTCAAATAATCGGCTACTAAATTATTCTTTGGAAGCTATAACAGGACGCGGAAACATAAAAAGCTTCTATACAAAAGAAATTAACTTTGGCCTTTCAAAGTGTCAAAATGTAACAGAAGTAAAATGTGGTTAAAAAAATTCTTTTGAAGTTATATCAGGACATCAATAAATACTTAAATCACATGCGACATGAAAATGAAAGCATTTCTGCTTAAAGGGTATAATGTTCCTTTAATACAAATGGGCAACGTTTGAAATATAGTAAAATGTAATATATAAGTGTGGAAGCCAAATATGTTGGCACCAAGATAGAACAAATGCCTAAAAGACAAAATTTGTGGAAGAGGAATAATCGTATAAAGTGATGCACGAATGCAGGAAATCATATAAAGTCTCTTAAAAAGACAGTTTTACATTAGTTTTGATCACGTGCGTCTGTCCAGTAAATCGACTTTATTGAAGATTTTCATATAATCTCACACACTGTGCAATTAATTGCAGAAAATAAAACGGCATGCAATGTCGATGAATATGTTAGCTTTCAATGAATGTTCCGTAAACATTCGGCATTATCAACTACGTCTCTACTACCATTTAATATATAGCAGTTGCAAAATAAAAAAATAAAAAAAATTATGATTTGTATGGAAAGAGAATATCCGACAAAAGTATATGTATCTTAATGACATGTTTATATCTGAATGTTATTAATCCATGTTTATTGTCACACTATTAGATATATCCTTTTTCTATGTATATTTATTTACATACAAGAATGCAACAATTCAAATGTATGTATGCCAACGTAAGGAATAGTAATACCATTATCGCCAATCAAAGAATTCTTGCATCGTCCGAAAAGATACCACACACTTATATTTATGTCATCCACATGCCTCTATAAACCATGCATTCGTCTTATATTAATGGCATAATTATAATGTTACAGGTTTAAATTCTACTTCTAAATATTTCAAGCTATTAATAGATCTACCTGCATTTTCCGGTTTAGAAATTCTTATTATCATCAATAAAGCTTTAAAAGCCCATTGTGCCTCAGAAATGCCATCATTTCTATTTCTTAAAAAATGTTAAACTTTATTTTTGATATTTTGTTAAAGGGTCCAAAATATACTTATTTACTATATACATGAACGGTCTTTTGCATCATGAGTTATGTTGGCAATTGGTATCATTATAGTGAAAAAGCAGTGTGTATATGAGTCTTAGACTTCTTTGTTTACATTTTGCTACCTTAACGATACATTACTGCATGTTCAGAGCTGCTTTTTCAGTTTTAAAACATCTACATTTTCTCTTTATCCATCTTTAAACATTTTTTACATTTGTTTGACATTTTTAAAGATTTGAAAATATGGATTTCTTAGGCATAATGTGCATTTAAAGATTTTTCAGTGACATTAGAAATGGTAGCAACACTCATTTTGGAATAAATATAATATATTTCTTGCGTTTATTTATATGTTTTTTTGTTACATACAATTTTCGAAAGGAATCCAGCCACTCATTATATGATGAGATTTATTATTGATAAATTCTTGTAAGAAAAAATATTGTCCTTGAACATGACAATGTGAATGGATATATGATTTAAGATCGTACTTTAAACAATTTTATTTAACGTTCTGTTCCTGTCGACAGTTCTAACTACAATGTATATACTAACTTTATGTATAAATATATGCATTATTCAAAATTTATATGATTTCCTGTTATTGAATTCGTGAATAAGATATTTAAATTTGTGTCTTATTTATTTGACTCTACAATCAGTCTTCGTTTGCAGTGGGAATTATTAATTTCCTTATATTTTGACATCATTCCATACAATTGTAAATAATTAAGTTAGCTCTAAAAATTATGAGTTGATAAGTGAAGATACTAATGCAAAATTATGTCTTATTATGCAAATTGTTTCTACAAAACTAAATTTAGTCGTCTGTTAATGTTACTTGCAACATCATTTCCTTAAAACGAACTTTGTCTCTAGATCATTTTACAGAATGTCTTGTTATTCTATGAAATACAGTCCTTGGATTCTTTCTTTGAAAAAATCTAATGTCCCATTATGTCTAAGAAAACCTTTAATCTTTATTCAATTTAAGTGTTATGTTAAAGTTACAATAAAGTAACCCATTGGCCAAATACCTGAATTATGTTATTGTTTGTAAATAAGTACAGCTACAGTGATTTAGTATTGTATATGGAAGTAAAAAATGATACTTTTGCATGTTTCTACGTTTTAACATAATTATAACAGCACATACCGCGCTTGTTTCTTCAGTTGTTAAGCATGCTCTAGAACCATTAATTAAAAAAGATTACAACCCATGTTTGCAATTTCCCAAACAAATATCTAAGACATAACGTGTCTTTAATATCCTGTATTTTCATAATATAATAGAAATTGAGTGGTGAAATATCATTCAATTGGAGATGTGTTTTATCACATTAATCGCGATGTAGTCCATAAAGTATAAGACAATATTTAATTAGTGTAAAAACAATCTAACGTGACTTCATCTGTATCATAAACACATAATGTAAGAGCACGATAGAGTGCAAGCTTTACACTATAGGCGCGCCAATGAACAATGACTTTGCTATAATTCGGCTGCGACCCTTTCCTCCAACATTTATCATGTGAGTAGTCATTTTTTTGAGTACAAAATCGGAACCATTAAAGCGCGGCGTGATTTATGCGCCATTTATGCACTGTTGCGCAAGTTAATTTTTCATTGTAGGGAAGACAATAATTTGGGTTTAAATATGACAGTATAAAGCAGACGACATTATTTTTCCGCCGATAGTCTGTTAAACTGAATAATGCGCTGTCGACCTACCCGTTTAAGATATTTAACCCTTTCTCCAATAATTTAATTTCACTTGTTTTGTTACCACCGATTGATACACATCGAGGCAATAAACCTTTTACTGACAGATAAAGAGCGAAACCCATTCATACGGACAAAGGTAAAACTTTATATTTTTCACAATTTTACAAAAATTGACTATCCTTTACCCAATCTAAACACAATACAGTGTATTGGATGTATTTTTCGCCCACGCGGGAGATTCAACATCGGTTTAAATTATACGGTTTAACAATTTACAACGCTACAGTAGTTAAACGTTATTTATGAGCGTTTAACAGAGCAGACGACAAGTTGTTATATCAGTGATAATGGTTTAAGCAAAACAAGCCGGTGTTGACATATTTACTTTTATTTACAAACTTTTTTTCTTTTTTTTCATGGTACAATTTATAACATGTAAATACAATTAATAGAGTAATATTTTTTAGATAGTAAATATTTTACACATAAACTCACAAACACACAAAGTAATGTTAATTTAAGTCCAATAGTAATTATTTTACACATAAACTGAAAAACGTTTATTTAAGTCCGAAGCTTTTATCCAACTGTTAAATTTAGGCGGGAAACTTTTCCATTTGACGAAGAGTTGTTTATTTCGTCCTTTTCCTCGGCTTTTTAATATTTTTTCTATTTTCCATGTTTGATTAGGATCAATGTCCACTTTCTGTAACTCGCTTTCATTAAATGTGCCTTTGATTTCGTCTTGTTGCATGTCTTTTAGACGATAGATAGGCAATGTACCTCTGTGATAACGTTTATACACCTTAAACAATTCGCCCGAAAACGTTTGATGGTACGCCCTAGTAAATATAGTTTTTAGATGACTGATACGCACATAATCTCCTAATTTAAATTTGAAGCGTTTGAGATTTATATTCGATTTGTTGTTTTTAGAGTTTTGAGCCATGTAGGTGGATATTCGTACTTCTTCTTGATTACTGTCTTTGACATCTGCGGCTCTCATTCCAATAGTTCTATGATAGGTATGGTTATAGCTGTCGGCGATGTCCTATAATATGGATAAAAATGTACTGGTTTCTTTGTACGACAAGTAGCGCATGAGTCTGGTTATTATACTCAAAATCGCCCTTTCGGATGTACTCGCTTTTGTCTCATTTTGTGTGGGTGAATATATTACGTCATGTTTCTTCATTAGTTCTTGCACCGTCTTGGCTCTAAACTCCTGACCTGAAAACAAACAAAATGTATAAAATATATTAATACTGTTGTCATTTTTAAAGTACACATAATATAAATAATAAAAAGTAATAGTTTATAAAGACCTTTGTCAGTTAATAATCGTCAAGGTATCCGGCTAGATTCAACCATGATGTCTTTGAAAGCTTCAGTAACATCTTGTCCAGTGTTCTGTTTGAGTGGTCTAAACCAAACATACTTGGAGAATGTGTCTATCACTAACAAAATGTATTTGAAACCGTTGTTGCATTTAGCAAATTTCACCATATCGATTAAGCCAGCCATCCATAAATCGTCTTTACCCGCACTAACAACATGATTTCGTGTGAATCGTCTCCTAACCGGTTTGTGTAAACTATATGATTACTGATTATGCAAGAATTTGCGCATTTTGTGCATTCCGATATTAAATTTCCCTTCATTTCTTACAACTTTGTACAGTTTTTGTGGCCTAGCAAATGCGGCTGGGTGTTTTGGGTAAAAATATATTGACTTTAAATAGTTCTCCCATGGAGCCATGTTTACTGTTATGTGTCCTGGGTATAAATGAAATGAATATAGCTATATGTACCTATAAATTAGTTTTCAGATTCCTCCTCCTCATCGTTGTCACTTTCTTCCTCGTCACTTTCTTCATCATCAGTAATTTCTGTCTCAAATAAATTTTCAAACTCAGTCTTATGTTTTCTCAAGACCTTTGTCACGGCTGAAGTTTTGTTATAACCTTTTGAAATCAATTTATTTATCTGAGCCATAATGTTGCTGTGCAGTTCATTGTTACTAAGTGGTAATATAAAATTGTCAATTAACATTGTATAATTATTGAAAAACGCCTTTTCGTTGTAAGGCTGTATACGTTCTTCTGCCATTTCTTGTGCTTCGTCACTTTTTTCTCCGTCATCAATCAGTTTGCTATATATTCTGTCGAATTTTTCATCATTTGATTTCCTGGCTCGCTTCCATAAGTTTACGTAAGCCTCATTATCTTCTAAGGAGTTCTCTTCATGCTCACTATCGCTTATTTCTTCATGCATTCGTTTCTTGTGATCCCTGCTTTCGGGACACCACCCGCTTTTGACATGTCTTTGCACGTCATGAATAGTGTCAAATAATTGACAACAATCGTCACAAGCTTGTCCTTTATTTTCCATGATTATCTCCAAATTATTTTCTAATTTATTATTCTGTATTTTTTCTGACTTATCCTCTATTTTGTTTGATTCTGAGTATTTTACGATGTTATCCGTATGAATTTCAGCAGCAGAATGATTAATCCTGGGATATTGTCTTCTTTTATAGGTTCTATGGGGGTCACGTGACTTATGGATTCTGAATTTTGATTATTTTTTCTGATACATTTTAACCTCTGATCCTCTTGTGTAAATGGTTTTAAATCCACCAATAAATGACCATATGGATACTTGATAGTTTTGGCAAATTGTTTTAAAAGTATATCACTTTTACCAGGATACATTTGTCTAGCCAGTGTCATGACTGATTGTTTGTCTACTGGGTTATTAAACAACACTAAATAATAACAGTTTCTTCTCTGTGTAGGATCTTTAGTACCAAACAAATTCTGATTGATAGAACTCACGGAGAGAGATCTGTGGTGGGAACCCTCCGTAAACAAATCTGTAATGCGTTTATCTTTGCCTGATTCAGAAAACAAATCATCCAAAATCAGTAAATTGTTCATTCTTGGATCAAAGAACTCATCGTCTTCTAGGTCAGCGGGAATCCATTGAATAAATTCTACTCGAGGTATCACGGTTCTTTCAATGACAGTATACAACGGTTGCCATCGTTTGTATAACCACACGATCCTTTGTATACCAGGTTGAATTTTAGAGCTGTGATACTGTAATAACTCTTTCACCATTGTTGTCTTCCCAGAGGCTAAAAAAAATGAAATTATTTTAGTACTTTAACTAAAAAAAAAAAAAACAAAAAACTATTTTTCATAACAAAAAACCTCAGCATTTTTACCAAGCTTTGCAGAAAAAAAAAAACATGAACTATATCTATTTTGCAATCCAATTGTAGTAAAATCTATTAAATAAACACAAAATTTTCAGAGAAAGACTGTATTTAAGTCATAAAAATATTTTGTTGAAAATGTTGAAAATAGTTGTAGTTATGTATCCAAACTTGTAATAAACTATGTGTCAGAAAAATGTAAAAAATACCAGAAATATGTATATAATTACCCGTGGGACCTGAAATCATCATAGTAAATGGATGGTGAAACACCATGTTTTCTTTTTGCGGTGATGGTGGTGGTGATGGCGCAGGTATAGTTGCTGTAACATGCGCTCCAGCATGCACACATTTCGCTCCATGCGCTCCTAAATGCCCTCCCAAATGAGCTCCCTGCGTTCCTAATTGAGCTCCGTGAGGAGGAGGAGGCACTCCCTGTACCCCCAAATGCGATCCCTGAGGAGGAGGAGGAGGAGGCGCTCCCAAATGCACCCTCTGAGGAGGAGAAGGAGGAGGAGGAGGACACGCTTGACTGGCTCTTTCATGCATTTGTCTCTGGTGTCGTAACATATTGTCTCTTCTCGAAAAATCTTGATGACACTCTGGACACTGTATTTTTTCCATCCTCTCAGTTCAAAAGTCGAACAAGTAATGAGGCAAATAACTATTTTGTCTTAGTTTTATAATTATATTTCTTTTTGACCAATTCTACATCATCGTTTGCAAAGACCTCAACCAATCACATGGCTTGATTCTTTCAGTTCGTCTATATCATAATAATCAGATTCATTAGTGCTTCATTCCTCTTCGTGTCAGCTAACGGAGAGGTTTTTTAAGACATTTAGTATAGTGTTAACAGTCTTAACACCAAATAAATTGGATTATATTCGTATTTAAGTAAGTGATTTTCTTGGTCTCGCCCGGCTCTTTCTTAGTCTAGCCTTGCTTTTTCTTAGTCTCGCCTGACTTTTCTTAGTCTCGCCTGTTTTTTTCTGTGTGTTCTTAATTAAAATTGAAATATTTATAAAATACCTTAATAATCCTATTTTACTTTTTGTAATAAAATTAAGAGAAAAATAATATGTGTGTATATCTTTTTTCAAAGTTTATTATTTAACTCGAGACTAATACTGCATTTTTCATTATCATTTCAGCCGTACAACAATCAACATGGATTATACCTGCGAACAGTGCGAAGCTAGTTTCACGAAGCTAAGTCAGCTGCTCCAGCATAGAAGAACAGAAAATCATTGGCAAAAATTTACATGTCCTAGCTACAAGAAGACTTTCAATAGAAAACAGAACTTAGATCGTCCTATGAAGAAACATGCCGACGAAAATTCTCACCACTGTCCAGAATGTCTTAAAGTGTTTACAAGGAAAGATGCGCTTGATGAACATCTTTCACAACATGAAAATCAAAGTGGTGGTGGCATGAAAAGACCTCATGGTGAAAATGATCATTATAGCTCAGGAAAACGACAAAAATTAACACAAAAGGATAATGCCACGAAATACTTTGAGAAAATAAACGAAAGACGAATTGAAAAGTTCAACACCACGGCGTCTTACTATAACATTAAAATCAAGGACTTGGAAGTGAGAGATTTACCAAATATTTTAAAAACACTTACAGTAATATTTCAGTCTATACTGACAAGAATTACAGAACATATTCCAGCTCATGATTTAGTGAGGGTGTCCATGGATAACCCAGAACTGGACTATCCAATTGTGTTGAGATTTATGCCAAGATCAGCTTTAACTGTTGATAGACTTCTCTCAGAAATCGAACGAGTTTTACAGTCTTATGAGCAGTTTGTTGTTGACGAGACATTTGGTATAGAACTAGTTCATGTTGCAAACGTTAAAGGCTCAGGATACAGAATGAAACCAACAGTAGCCATTACTCAGATGTTACAGAACAAAAAAGTGTAATACAAATAAAGAATAAGGATGATCTTTGTTGTGGCAGAGCACTAGCTACAGCTATAGCTCGTGTTGAAAAACACCCACAATGGGACAGCATACGAAAAGGCCGTCACATTCAACGATACTTGGCCATAGAACTCCACAAAAAACCGTCGTGCCACTTTGTAAATGCGGAATAGAAGAGGTGAAGAAATTCCAGGCGTCCATGCTAAACTATCAGATCCACGTAGTATCTGAAGCACACTTCAACTCCATCATTTATCAAGGACTAGAGGGAGGTGCACCTATATACATTTTCAATCATGATGATCATTATGGCGTTATAACGTCAATGACAGGATTTTTAAACAGAAAATTTTTTTGCCAAAAGTGTAAAAAAAGATACGATCACAAAGAACGTCATAAGTGTAATAAGCCGTGTCATTACTGTCGTAAGTTTCATGAAGATGTGTCTGAAGATTGGCAATTCTGTGAAACCTGCAACTGTAAATTTGTAAATCAAGCTTGTTTCGATCTGCATAGTAATAAGACGGAGAAGAAGGGAAAATCAACTTGCGAATTGTATTACAGATGTAAACATTGCAGCCAACTTATTAATCGTTCAAAACATAAACATGACCATATCTGTTGTGAAAAGTATTGCGACACATGCAAAGACTTTGTTAGTGAAAATCACTTATGCTACATGCAACCGGTTGAAGATGATGACACTTTAGCAGAAAATGACACAAAGGGAGAAAAACAAACAAAATACATTTTCTTCGATCTCGAATGCACACAAGATAAACGTCTTGAATGTGCTGCTGGTTACCTTCCTGGTGTAAACAATACATGTGTTAATTGTAAAAAGTCCTGGTGCGGATCTATGGAAAATAGGGCAAATTTATGTGTAGCACACAGGGTTTGTAGTACTTGCATGCATCTTAAAGTTACTTCATCTTCAAAGTGTTCGAAATGTGGTCCCAATGAATGGGTGTTTTCAGGTTTAAATACCACGGAGACATTCTGTAAGTGGTTATTCACGGTTGAAAATAACAGTGCCACAGTTCTTTGCCATAATTGCAAAGGGTATGATAGTTATCCGGTCATGAAATTCTTGTATGACAACGCCATTCTGCCCAAGGTGATCACAACAGGATCAAAATATATGTCCATTATAGTATCTATCTTTCAAATAAGATTTATTCCAATGGCCCTTGCAGACATGCCTAAAGCTTTTGGAGAAACTAAACTGGCAAAAGGGTACTTTTCACATTTATTCAATACGACAGAAAATAAATTAGTAGAACTCAATCATCTACCTGACATTAAGTATTATAACCCCGACAGTTTGAAACCAGAATCACGTCAAAGGTTTTTAGAATGGTACGATAGCAATCGGCACAAACACTTTTCACTGCAGACAGAATTATGATGTTGATATTCTTAGAAAATGCTGTCTAAAATTCAGAACACTGTTCAAAGAACTCACTCAAACGTCGGACAATGATGGAATAGATCCATTTGAGAAATGCATTACAATAGCATGAGCTTGTAATCTTGTTTTTAGGAGCCTTTTCCTGGATCACGAAACTATTGGTATCATTCCATCTCATGGTTACCGACCAGAGGCTAAACAGTCAGTCATGGCTTATCAATGGTTATCCTACCTTGCATTTGAAAGACAAATATATATCCAACATGGCCGAAATAAGGGGGAGAAACAGATAGGACCATATTAAGTTGATGGGTACTATGAGACAGCAGAAGGTCACAAAGTTGTTCTAGAGTTCCATGGGGATTTCTGGCATGACTGTCCGAAATGTTTTTCTAAAAACACAATTAATGGGGTCAATGGATTATCCATGTCTGAATTATACACACACACCCTTGATGAGCAAAAGTATCTTGAATCTGAAGGGTATATTTATGAATGTATATGGGAATGTGATTTCAAACAGAAATTAGAATCGAATCCTATCATGAAAAAGTACACCGAATCTTTGGAAATTGTGTCGCCCTTAGAACCTAGAGATGCATTCCATGGTGGACGTACTGAAGCATTTAAAATGTTTGCAGAGTCCACGGCTAATACTCAGATTAAGTACTTCGATGTTACATCTCTTTATCCCTACATCAATAAAACAGGGAAAATACCCTTAGGCCATTCAAATATAATCACTGAACATTTTGAGAACGTAAATAAATATGAAGGGTTAATTGAATGCAAACTTCTACCTCCAAGAAAACTCTACATTCCTGTTCTTCCAACTAAATGCAACGGTAAGCTTATGTTCACTCTATGTCGCACCTGCAGTGAAACATATGAAAATGGAGAATGTCACCATGGCAACGATGAAAGGGCTATTACAGGCACTTGGGTCACTGATGAAGTTAAGATGGCTACACAAGGTCACAAGGTTATAGGTTACTTAAAATTTACGAAGTATGGCATTTTAATGAAATAGCTCAATACGACCCTCGTACCAAAACGAGTGGGCTTTTTACAGAATATGTAAATATTTTTTAGAAAGTTAAACAGGAAGCCAGTGGTTTGCCAGACTGGTGTGAAAATGAAAAAGACAAACAATTGTATATTAAGCAGTATTTTGAAAAAGAAGGTATTTTACTGGATTATGATAAGATTGAAGAAAATCCTGGTCTGAGACTTTTAGCTAAAATTATTCTTAACTCTTTCTGGGGGAAATTTGGACAACGTTCCAATCTAACGCAAACAACCTTTATTGACGATCCAGCTCAATTTGTTGATATGATGACATCTGACCAACAAGAAATCAAGAACGTACGTTTTATAAATGATGAAGCAGTCCAATTAGACTGGGCATATAATACTGATTTCATAGAAACTTCAGGTAGAACCAATGTTGTTGTGGCTGCATACACAACAGCTCAAGCCCGTTTAAAATTGTACAGTTATCTACAACCATTAGTTGAAAGAGTTTTGCATTGTGATACCGATTCTGTTGTGTTCACCTCTGCACAAGGTGAATGGGATCCCCCATTGGGTGACTTCCTGGGAGATTTAACGGATGAAGTTCCAAACAATCAAATAACTAGAATGATCACTGGGGGGCCTAAGAACTACGCATATTATTTAGAAAAACAAAAACAAAAAAGGTCAATCTTCAATTTATAAAGTCAGGGGAATAACGTTGAATTTTAAGAACTCAATGGACATTAATTTTGATACACTGAAAGATATGGTAACAGGACAAATGCAAAACCAATGCATTAAAGTTGTGGACAGAAATAAAATCGTTAGAAATAGGGAAACTTGCTGCATCATAACAAAGACTGAAATAAAAGACTATCAAATTGTGTTTGACAAGAGAGTGATCTCTGAAAACTACAATTCGTTTCCTTACGGTTATAAGTCATGACTGTATTGAAAATCACATTGTTTAGTTTATTGTAGCCTATTTATTTAAAAGTATACGCATTGTATTTATGTATTTTATATTTGTTTCAATTATCTAAGACTTGCATAATCTACGTTGTTATAATTTTAAATAAAATATGTCTAAAGTCACAAAATTTTGTACTGCTTTTATGTTCGTTGTATTTACCCCACGGACTGTAGGTTAAAGCATGAACACATCCCTGCGTGAATTAGTAGCGTTAAACAAACAGGTCGTTGTATGTAGAATGTACGCTTAGTTTCCGCGTAGTTGCATTTCAAAAGGCCGAGTTAAATTATTTTTCGTCTGATATGAAATTCTGGCTTTACTTTAAAGAACCAATCAACATAGCCGCTCATTATTCCTTTAATTGGAAAAAGAGCGTCTGCTACAAAAGTTTAAAATACTAGCTTAAATCAAATATTTGTAAAAAGATCAAATTTTGGCGGACAATTTAAAAATATCGTCTGCTAGATATACCAATATGGCGGCGCGCTGTCGTTACGCTTGAATGGTTCCGATTTTTTACTCAAAAAATGTGGTCTATCCTTCGGCCCTTGACTACTCATGTGTATGGCCTAAGTCATTTTTGTTTGTTTCTAATTCAATAGGAATATTAAAATATTAAAGGATGTAATGTGATATCCACTTTACTATAATTGTAAGTACAATGTTTGGCGTCTGTATTTGTTTGTAAAAATAACAAAATTAAAAAAACAAGAGGGAACATTGTTATTTTGGCGGCAGAATAATTAAAAGATATGATTATGTGTGTACAATACAGTGTTGTTCATGCATTAGTAAATATTTTGACACTTACTCAAGAAGTAGTTTTATTTAATGTATCTGGCCCTTTATACAATATCATTGTTATAAAAAAACTTTCATTCACAACAGTGTCTACAATTTCAATAAAACTGCAGACAAAGCATGCCGATTTTAGCTCGTCTGTTTAGAAGAAAAGGTTAAGCTATCATGAGCGCTGCGTCGTTGTTGTTGTTGTCGTCGTCGTCCAAATACTTAATGTTGTCCATTTTTTAAACATCGCAAAAGGTATCAGCATGAAACTCGGAATATATCGTTTCAAGTTGCAGTTTTTAGACATTCACAAAGTGCATATTTCTGAAAGAAATATTTTTGGAGTTATACCCATTTTTAACTATGAATTTGTAACAAACAATCGTTATCTCCTCATGCGGTTCTTTTTTGTGTAAATATCTAATTGTCTTTTTGCACTCCTCGTTCACAGCAATGTAAATGTTATAATAATGGATATATACACTAGTATATTTATATACAATCATTAGCTAAAGTTGTATATTAACGGTAATTGTATTGTTCTTTTAAACCTACTTTAAGGTGTTATTAAGCTTGTTTTATTTCGTTATCAAGTTGATATGAATAAACAATATACATCTGTTAATAACCAAACCTGCTTATAAACAAGATAAAATATAAAAAATGCATAAAATACGGAAAGGTCTGCCCCACTCTTTTATAAATAGAACATACAGATTTCCTGTAAACAAAGTATACCAGATGAAGACATCTACGAAACGTTGTACAATTTTCAAAAAAAGAAAATACACTTTTAGATTGAAACTGGAGTTTACTTCTATATTCAAACTTACATAAATAGAACATCGAAGATAAAATCGGAAAGATGGTTTCATATTTTTTGTGTGAGTATTATGGGTAATTAATTAAACATCTGTAGCACGTAAAACAGAGTGCAAAAATCAAATAAATTGTCATAAAAGTAGAAAAACATAAACCAAGTCGCATAAAGACTGATACTTTTAATAAATAATTTCTATTGTTTCATTTTTTTCTTAAAATACGTAATTATATTAGAATTATATAATTGTTGGATGACTTCATTTAATTTATTATTTTATAAGATTTTTTTCTTATTATTATAGTTTAAATATACAAATGCAGTAACACATTTTGAGTATTCGATATTCTCTATTCACAGTTCGCTTTTATCTGCTCAGTGCATTGTTGTTTTAAACAGTAATACTAGTAATTGCTTTCTAAATTATTTAGTTATGATTATAATTTTTGTTTTTTTAAAGAATAAATGTTACAACTTCCTTTCTTAAGATTTCTTTTCCTCAACTGATACACAAACAAATAAGAAAAGGTTTTCCAGCACGTTATGTTTAAAGCAATTGTTTTTGAAATGTTTCTGGCTGTCCAAGCAACCTATGTAAACTTCCCATACTATAGTCTAAATGTCTCCCCTAAGCAACAACTGTGAAAGTAAATAAAAAGGCAGACAGATAAAAAGGAAGATAAACGGCTTTAATATATTTTTGTGGCGTTTATGTTAAAATCATTTATAAAAAAGATAATCCATAATAATTATTGTCAAATGGCAACTCATAACATTTCATACATAATTATGAGTATTATTCAACATCATTAGTAAAGTCAATGGTCTATAAAGATTATTCCATAAAAAACACAGTTTCAAGCATTACTATGACCTTTCTTTTTATTTGATCATTATAAGTCAATCTTATATGAAGACATATTACATCTTCTTGTCACATATTCGTTCAAGTACTTTATTTCATTAGATGCACAGAACTGGAATAAGTTTTCCAGAACTTTATGTTAAACCTATTAGCTTACAAACTAATTCATGAAACCTTCATACATTGTTGGTCTAAACTTCTCACTTAAGCAACAACAGTTTACTGTCCACGTAAAATAATTGTCGGAACAAATTAGATAAACAGTAATACTGTTGTAAAGTATAGCTTTTATTTGATATCATAACGAAGTTTAAGTATTATATTATATCATAATTAAAAAGAAATACATTTGTAACCACAAATTATACAATAGTGAATTACATGTAACTTCATGACTTCAAGTGCCGGCGGCATTATGACCGATTTATTTATTTAAAAAAAGAAACCTCAATTTAAATAATCAAAACAAGTAGGATCATGAGGTGTCATCATAAAAGATTATTTAATATTTATTTAGTTCATTTATATTTCCTTTCTTTCTTTGAAATATGTGCTTGAATGTCTTTTTCTTTAATGCTTTCTAGAAAGAAATATATTTCGAACATATTAGATAAAACGTTTTCCAATAATATTATCTCATTTGGATATAAATTATTTGTTTTCTTACTCAAATTCGCTTTTGTTTATATTAACATAATGATCTAATATATAATTTCATCGAACCTTCAAAGTGTATCCTTTTCATTTTACTTTATCTCTTTGTTGTATTGTAAATTACAGTATTTCTGAGAATTTTATTTAAGTTTTTTTATAGTTCAGGTCAATAAAACTACAATAAACATTCCACACAATCCAAACATACATTTTGTAGCCATTAAAAGGTTTATGTAAACTTCGTATCAGACAAGTTAGATAGGAATGTTTCCATCAACCGTAGACGCTAGTTAATTACTAGCCACTTGAATGCAATAAAGCAGTAAAAAAATCAACTCAATAGTCCACGTGTTGATACCTTGATATTCTGTACACATATAATTCTATATCTTGTAATATGTGCTTAATGGTTTAAGAATCGTTATGTTTACTCATATTGGTATTTCTTTTCTTGTAATATTTGCTCGTTACATTTATCGCCAGCAACGTTTATTTGTCTGGCAGAATATAAAACCTTAGTCAGACGTTCTGTATATATTTTCGAAAGAACTTAAACAATCAATAATGACTGGATTGTTGCCTTCCTGAAATAATAATATGAATATAAATTTGGAACATATGATGTCCAAAACTGCAACCCTTTAATAATCCTTACCATGTCTTTAGGCATTTTTTACCCATGCGATTAGACTAAGTGCCGATGGGCAAACTTTAGATGAAATGTAAGTGATGATTGGAAGATTTATTTCAGGCAAGAGCAGGCAATTGAGAACCACATAAGTTCAGAAAGTTATCTTGATAAGTTACTCACATTACGGAATCTAAAATTGGTGGCGGGATTGGTACCTACGTTGGTTCCACTATTTTTTCACATTAATGTTGAACGTACACATCTGACCTTGACCTTGAAAACTAGAGACATGATTTATGCAGGTGACAAAAATGTCATTATTTCCAAAATATTTTAGAAATTCTTCTTGATTAAAGAAAATGTGCCATAGTGCATGCGTACATGTGAATGTGTGTAAACATACTTTTTTCACTATGTTACAAAACAAACTTGTTTACTCTTTATTACTCACCTATTGTTTCATTCAACTTCCGGCTTCATTTCTGAGCTAATTCTTGTCCTTCGTGTTCTCATATTTTTACATTTACTCTGCATTTATTTGTATGTACTGATTTCAAACTTATTTAAACAAATCAGATTATCTGCGATATCAACATTTCATTTTTATCTCAAAGTTAAGACATATTGTCGTCCAGCTTGGCAACTGAACTTAATGACTATCCTTTTTATGCAAACTCAAAGAATTAGCTCAAATGCAAACGCCATTCATTCATCAATTTTCGAAACATTTTACATAATTTGTTTCCAAAACACGGGGTTATGTAATCAAAGATTGACGTATGTAATTTGTTCACAAAAAGTGCCGTTGAGGAACTGACTCAGTTTTGCAAAATCATGAAAAAAGACTTTGACATGATTTGAGGAATTTCTAGATATATGTTAGCTTATTCAAATATCTGCTTTACTCTTTGACAGTCTTGTATTCGTGTAATAACATTTATAATAATATTTATTAAATAAATACAATATA